CCGAAGAGGGCGGTCCCCCGCCTGCGGCTGCCGGGCTGCCAGCATGCGTCTTCGAGGGCGGGGGAGGCGGGCAGGGAGCCCGCAGCCAGGCTCCGGGTGTTTGCTGACAACCCAAATTCTGCAGCTGAAAAGCTTGCAAAAATAAGCTTTTTGGAATGGCCAGCCTGGTATCTGTAAGCTGCAGGGAAAGCAAGAGGCTGTAGGGCACAGGGCCCCGTTCGTGTTCGGGTATCGCTGGACCTGTTATCCAGGACACGCAGGCCAGCTTCTGGCTGCTCCCGAGAGATTTCTTCCAGCCCGCATGCTGGAAGCCTGTCTTCACCGTCACAGGGGCTACAACCCTGTTTTCTTATCAGCGGAACAAAAGGAGGCAGCTGAGCTCCCCCATCCCTCCAGGGTCCCCTTGGCTGGGCTGGAAGAGAAAGGAGCCTCCCTCGTGAGCAGGGATGCCCAGCGCTCTAGCTGCATGCAGAAGCTGCCACGTCCGCTCTCTGCAACACGGAGCAAAAAGGACCCCAGAGTCCTTGACTGAAGCCCAGAAGTGTGCCCTTTCTGCATACTTTTCTCTGCCCCACACTAAGCTCCATCAATACCGCTGTTTGGTGCGACAGCCATCTTTCTGCAAATCTGTCAGGAAACGACAATTTATCTGTTAGATCTCGGTCCTGCCTTTTGTACAGAAGCTCAAGGCAGTGTATCTGCAGTGCTCCCGCCTCCTGTTTGTCCTCATCACAACAGCCCTGCGAGGCAGGATGGGCTGAGAGAGAGCGACTGGCCCAAAGCCCCCAGGGAACTTCTGTGCTGGGGGGGATCAGAACCCGCATTTCCTGATGCCAGCCCAGCCCCTGGTCCTCTGCCCCCACCAGCCCCAGAGGCTTAGGCCTCCTTGCTGGAACCTCTTCTCCTGCCAACCTCAGCTTACACTTCACCTCTTGCCCCTCACCTCCGACTAACAAGATGTCTCCCTTCCCCTTCCCTTCTCTGGCTTCCTCTTCTGTGACTCTGCACAATCGAGGGGGAAGAGAGACCCGACTTCTTTCTCTGACTTCATTTGATTAAAGAAAACCTCGCGCAGGTTGGCAGCACTGCCTAAAAGAAACCAACATCCATCCAGAGATGCTCGGTGGGGAAAGGGTGGTTCCTGCCTGCCCTTATTTCTGCAAGGGGTCCCAAGCCTCTTTACCAGAGAGGAGCCCCTGATCAAACTCTACCCTGTGGGTTACCACTCGGGACCCCTCGCTTTGCCACCTGCCTGCCAACCCCCCTGCCCCACGCCATCTTTTACGTTCTCCAAAGACCTTTTCTGAGCATTCAAACAAAAGCTGGCATGGTGCAAAGCCAGTGCCCGCTTCCAGCCGCACCCAGATTCCCTTTGTGACTTGGGAAACAAGGGCGTGGCAGCCGCAGCCCAGCGCTCTGGAGCAA